ATCATTATTTTTTACTGAAAATATCTTTATTTTTTGTTGAAATATCATTCTTTTTTACTGAAATATCATTAATTTTTACCGAAATGTTATACATTATTAAATTTTACGTATTAAAAAGCTATTTTCGGTTTATAAAATTAGTTTATTTTAATTTTTAATATCTACAGCAGTATGCAAATGTTAAAAAAACAAATACGCTTCTTATTATAGTCTGCAGCCGTTTGGTCCACCTCTTCTACTGCAGAGGGTTGCAGAGGTGGTCCGTAGACTTCATAAATTTTTGCTTCAGAAAATCAAACAGCACCTTACACTCTAGCAAGTCCAAAAAAATCATATTTAGATTTAAAAAAAAATGATAATTCATAATTTGATACCATATTTCAGACACTATCTTACAATATTCAGAACTTAAGAGTAGCTCAAACACTAATTTACAATTTAAAAGGTTAGGTTTTGTAGGAACTAGTTTTGAAATTAGATCAATTTTAAATGAAAGGCCTATTATTTTCACACCCTTTTTTTTATGAATTTATATCATTAATGGTAATTTTGTCCTTATAAATTCCAATTAAATAACTTACATATTAATCTCCCGTGAACGATTCCCCAACTTAGGTTTTAATTAGACTATGCATATAAAATTCACAAAAAGGTTATTATTGTGAATGTCAAATTAATACCATTTTAATCTAATAAAACATTGAATTTCTGGAAAAAAATTGGCATTCATTATAATGCGAAAGTCAAAATAATAACATTGTTAAATTTACAAAACACTACATTTATTAAGAGCTGTCCATCATTCTAAGTTGATAGTCTATTAATTAACCAATATTATGAAATATCAATTGATTCAACTATAAACATCATAATTTTTTCTATTCATGAACACAACTTACAATATAGTTTACATTATATTATTAAATATCTTACAAATTCAACTAATTTAACTACGATCATATGGACCATTCCTAAATTTATAGTTTCATGAAAACCATTGAGAGTTTAAAAATTTATTTATACCATCAATATTTTTCAAATACAACTTATTCAACTGTGAATATGAATCGATGAAACATCATTCACAACTAAAGAGTCTCTTAATTAACAAACTATTACGAAATTTCATTTGATTTAACTGTGTTTTTATTCATAAACATCATTCCTAATTTAATTTTACATTATATTACTAAAATCTTAAAAATTCATCTAATTCAACTATAATAATGAAAAAAATTCCAAAAATTATAGTTTCAAGAAAACGATTCATAGTTTAAAATTTTATTTATACTATTAGTTTTCTTCAAATGCAACTTATTCAACTATGAATATGAATTGAAGAAATATCATTAAATTGTGAATGTATGAATCAATTAACCAAATGTATAACTATATTTATTTCATCCAATCATGTTCATTATATTGATTATAGACAACATACACATTAAAAATATCATAAAAACATAAAACACAATTGATTATTTCACAACCAACCTCGATTTCATTTGAGGCTTCGCCTTCTTCACATGTTTCTACACCGTTGGAGATTTATCAAAGAATCATAGGCAAATCATAATCCTCGACCACCACCGTAAAAAACATCCAGCAACGACATTCCTACACAACCGTCAACAAAAACCATCGCCGCAATGGAGCAGAAATCAGATTCATTGCCGGGATTGTGAATAGATCTGAAGTAAGAGTTTGGTATTTTTACATCAATGAGGTTTTCCGTTTACGTTGATGCTGAGTATGACAAAATGAGGCGTTGTGGTTTAGGTGTGGTTAAGGTGTATCATAAATTTTGTTTTCATTAACTATTGTGTGCCCCTAAGCACAAATCTGGACTAACGGATGGAATAGAATCATAATTTATGATATGAGAGTCTATGATATTACAATAGAGTAGTATGCACCATATAATCAATCAAATTTCAGCATAAGGGTATTTTGGTCAATTAATCTATATTAAAAAAAGGAAATTTTTGGATTTTAAAGAATAATTAATTCACCTATTTTTAAAAATCTGAATTTTTTAAAATTATTTCAAATTCAATTTTAATATAATTTTTAATAATAACCCATTTTATTCTGCCAGAATGACAAAGTTAACCATAAACTAGGAAATATATTCTCGATTTTATTCTTGTGGAATATGGTTTCATTCAAGATATTTTTTTTTTTAATATTTAATATGCTTACAAAAATTATACAACATATTATCAAGAATAACATTAATTTATAAACAATAAGACTAAACAATTATTACATTCATTGTGAAAAAAAAAACCCTTACTTAACCATTTTCATGCAAATTCTGACAGAATGCCAGCTTAACCCTTTTCATCAAAAACAAATTTAGAACAATCAAATATCAAGAACAAATGAAGAAATTAGGGCTGTTAAAGGTCCAATGAAGAAATAGACAAAGCAAAGTCAATCATATTTTGGTTCCCAAAACATATACAATAGATTTGGGTAACTGATAATAAAGTAAAAACAATAAAACAAAATAGAGAAAACAAGACTGAAATACAAAACTGTTGATTATTCACTCTAAAACATTTGAACCCAAAATGAACAAACACAACAATAATTTAACTCATCAATTATTAGACAAACTATTTAATCCAATTTCATCCAAAGAATTGTAAAATATATTTGGAACTTGCACATAGATACGGATGAAGTTGGAGAAATTTTAAAGAATGAAAAAACTTACAAAAGTTCTCATCTTCTCGGCAACAACAAGTGGAAAAGAAATGACACAAAATAAAAGGAAAATGATTCTGAAACCACCTTTTATCAGAGGGTTTTTCGAGCCCTACAAATTTCGCACGTAGGGGAAATTGTTTGGTAGCCAAGCACTGTTAAAACCCCTTGTTCTCCGATCCATAAAGTTGGTAGTTCTACGGTGGTGTGGGGTGGTGCTACTGCTCTGGTGGTGTCGAAATAAGGAGAGGAGAAGGGTTTTGTGGGCTTGTGAAGAGATAACGAGATGATAGTGGTTCCAAACGACGATTTTTAGAGAAATAGGGGGAATCAGTTGTGGTGTTATAGGTTTATGAAACTGATAACCTAAATTAATGGGATATTTGTAACATCCCAAAAATACAGTTTGAAAATTTCGTTTTAAATCAGTAAAAAAACCATAGTCATCATACGTCATAGAAAAATCACAACAATATATCTCAGAATAATATAACAACTGTCATGTATATCAGAGTATAAACATCCCAAGCTGAACAAATAGTGTGTGCACTGCAACCTTCCCGAGCTCCTCTTTTGAAAACTAAGTACCTGAAACCAAAAATGAAACTGTAAGCACGAAGCTTAGTGAGCTCCCCCAAACTACCACATACCATACAATAACATATAAACACATATTGGGCATTGCCCACTACATCGGACCAAAGTCCGGAACTAACTGCATCAAACCGAAGTTTAGAACTGATTGGGACCCCTTCCCCTGTATCAGACTGAAGTCCGGAACTAACTGCATCGGACCAATGTCCGGAATTGACTGGGACCCCATCCCCTGCATCGGACCGAAGTCTGGAACTAACTGCATCGGACCGAAGTCTGGAACTGACTGGGACCCCGTCCCCTACATCGGACCGAAGTCCAGAAACTGACTGAACATAGCATAAACATATGAACTAGCATGAACACATACACTGCATACTGCATCGGACCAGAGTCCGGAGCACATAAGGCAAAACATGCTTGAATCACAAAGACATCAAACACTCTAACTACTGCATCGGACCGAAGTCCGTAACTACTGCTAACTAAACGGGCCGACATTGTGGCCGTAGACCCGTTCCTACTGAAAGGAAACTCACCTCACACTGCTGAAGTCCCACACTGCTGAAGTCCCGCAAACTCAATCCCACACTGCTGAAGTCCCGCAGACTCAACCCCAACTGCTAGATGACAGATTCCCGATCTGTCAACATCAAAGTAACACCCAATTAATAATTGGGTTCCACTACATAACTATAATTACATACTTTGGATAATTTCTAGATTACCCCAAGCTTGGCTTACCCAAGCCCACGGTCCAATCCATAGGTCCAGAGTTAACTAGGGATCAAAGCCCAACATATGGACTAATTTTCCAAATTAGCCCCAAACCTCTACATGGGCTTCCCTTAAGGCCCAATTCTCCAGTCCAGTCCAACATATCTCATTCTAAGGGCCCAATATCATACAACCCTCTAGGCCCAAACTATGGCCCAGTAATATACCCAAGTGAAATTAGGGTTTCTCATAAAATGACGATTAGGGTTAAGTGTTTCTCACTTAACCCATTAAGGGCTTAACCCACTAAGGACTTAATCCATTAAGTCCATTATTGCTTAGATTAATTTTTGCTAATGATTATTATTTAATATTCCACTTATTAAATAATGCTCGTGTGTGTGCCCTAATAAATTCTCAAATATTAGGATTTTCTCGATTAGCCCATTAAGGACTTGATCCATTAATTCCTTTACTCCACTAGATGAATGTCATGGAATAATTTTGGCTTAATTCACAATCCAATCCCAATGGCCCACAAGTGGGCCCAATAAGTCTAAGGCCCAAATACTCACAATTAGGGTTTTCCACCCAAACATGGCCTAATAGGCCCAAAACTAGTCCATAAGCCCATTAGGATTTTGGCTAGGTCCATTAGGGTTTGCTAGCGGGGCACCACCCACTACCACCTCGGGTAGTGGTGGTCAAAGACGGCTCACGGTGGCGGCCACCACCTCACGGTGGTGGTTTGGTTCATTTTCATTATTCAAAAATTAAATTACAATTTACAAGGCTAAAATCTCAATTAACCACACACACACACACGGTAGCCATGATGGCGGCAACGAGATAGCGACCACACACACACCCCTCTCTAGATCCGGAGGCAGCCACCCACCTGGTGGCACTCATCGAACGGTAGCAACATCGCTAATGACGGACGGCAGCAGCGGCGCAACAACGGGATAAGCTGGCAATCAGGAAGGCAGCAGCGACTCGGAGGGGAAGAGCAACAACGCTACAACGGTTCTTATGGTGGTTGGGGCATCGACATGACACACTAGTCCTTCGAGATGGAAAATCTCTAACTGGAGCAATGGAAACGAGTCCTCCGGTGATGATAGCGACAATGTAACAGTAGAGGTGGCAGGAAACTCTGTGGCACAGTGGAGGATGGTCTCGGAAGAGGGAAACACCACGGTAACCTCGACACCGGCCTCAGGCCCATCATCGAAGTCGCATGGAGTCGCCGACGATCCTACTATGGCCTCACGGAGGCAGTTGCTGGGACGAAGGTGGAATAAGGTGAGGGTAGTGACTGCATAGGGGGTTTAGGGTTAGGGTTTGGCTGGTGGTGAAGTTTTATACCCGACTCTTCTAAAATTTTTCCATAATGTCAAGATCAGCCCTCCTTTTCTCTTTTCTTTCAAACCAGGGCCATAACTTACCCTTCCCACCCTTTCTCATAGAATTTCTTTCATATCTAGTCCCACAGATACAATTCAGCCCCTCCTTACTAATTATTCTTCAATTAAAGTCCATATGTTACCTTTGAAACTCTAGCTTTCAAAACTCTTTACAATGGAGTCTAGAATTACAATTTAGGCCTTGCTTTTCATAATCTGTCCTTCTTAAGTCCCGATAATTTACCACATGCTCTTTCCTTCATAAATAATTTACAAACTAATTCAGAATTGACACTTTTAATCCCCGACTTCAAAAACTCTTCAGAAATTAGTCCGAGACTTACATTTATTAATTCATTTAAATAAACAGGGTGTTACAACTCTCCCCCACTTAAATTAGATTTCGTCCTCGAAATCATTTCTTACCACTCCTTACACACCAACTACTCAAGTAACATGGTCATATTCATGGGTACACCCTACCCTTCTCAGGGTAGTTGTGACCAATCATCGTAAAGCCCTAACATCCGCAGGTGAACTAATTCCTCGCAGCAAGATCACATCTGCTTCATCTGAATTCTGCTGTCTCGACATGGTCTAAACCCTTGACAAACCACTCTTACTGAATCATTATTGTCGAATCCAACCCACTTGTCTCTTAGTTGCCTACTCATCCTTTTATAACTTAAGGCTCCCACTAGAAAACCGAATCACATGTCCACTTATCCCTGCGATTCACTTATACTTGGCCAACACAATGATAATCTCGATATGGGTGACTTGTCATTCCCCAAATTGTTTGGCTATTCCGCTCGTACCGCAAGCGGAAGCACAAATACCATCACTGCCTCCAAACGCTGAATCTGACTGAACACTGAACTGCCTGAAGTAGTATTCTGCTACATAGCTGCTTCCCAAAATCTATTGAGAACTTCCCTGGACTCACTTGATTCGAAAATCATATGAAGTACCGGGTTCCAACCTGGTTGCAGAGCCAAAGGACTCCCACTTAATCACCTCACACGAATTCTGAACAAATTCCTTCTCTAGAACTAGTTGCCACTAGTTACCACGCCACTGAGGCTATAATAACTTTTTGATCTAATTGATCGAGTCTATACGTCAAATCCTGATGTCACCAAACCCAAGGCTAAAAGTGATTGCTACATGACCATCGGTAGCCTAAAGTCACAAATGACCTTAAGCAGCCCCCTGCTCCCTTGCTCTCATAGCTGTAATGGCGCTTCTACAGTCTCGTCACTGGCTTAACCAGGTCAAATCCGCCTAGGTAATTTCCGAAATCCAATCCGTGGACTTCCATCTCCTTACTCCTATACCCGAAATGGTGGGTACTATGGTTCTTTTCGTGTCCTAACAACAGACTAATGCTATCTACCAACCTAGTGAAGGCTGCGGCTACACCCACAGACTTACATCACTCTAGCACTATCTGCTAATCTTTTGAATGATACGGCTGCACCCGCTGACTTACAACGCTCTATCCCTATATGGCTGATAATGAATGCTACAACTACACCCACAGACTTACATCACTTTCTCACACTATCTCATTCGCTGATTGCGAATCCGAACACATCCGACATCGAGCATACACGTGACCTACCATCCAAAACTAGACCCATGTCCTGACTGGAATCCCCAAACTGATTCCCTAAGGCTTGCTGGCAAACATTATGAGAACATGATATCATCATTGGCAAGATTTTTCGATCTTCTATCTCACACTATCCTCGAACCATACAACTTCATGGGTTGTCTTCCCTTCAGACAAGGATGCAAGCTTATCCTAGTCTCAAAACTGCTCCTGCTTCTGAATCCTTGGGCGATTCACCCCCACTTTGATTCAGCTAACGCTTTACAACACATAATACGAGAAAAATTCTCAATCCTTCATACCCTCCCATGACCAATCTGCTAGAACTCACGCTTATCTCCGCTAGGGTTTCAACACTAGCTAATCTAATAGATCACTAAACTTCAAAAAAAAAATCTGAATAAATCTCCCGTAACAACTTGCCAAACCCAGGAAGCTCCGAATCTCAATTGGAGACTTCTGAATCTCCCACTGCATCACGGCGTCTATCTTGGCCGGATCGACTAGAATATCCTTCTGATTGACAAGGTGCCTAAGAAATTTCACCCCGCACAACCAAAACTCACAATTAAAAAACCTTGCGAAAATTCTCGCTCTCCTCAAGGTCTCTAGAAGTCATATCATTCAGGGTCTTGCACTGTAACAACTCGAAGTTTTCCATCGTCGAAAACTTGTTCTACCCGTGAGACTTCGCCGTCAATCGATTCGTTTCGTTCTTGCTTCGGGTTAATTAATTAAATTTATATGTTATTATAATTTAATAAGTGTTCAAATCCCTTAGGAACTCATGAAATTAACCCAAAAGTGTTCATTTCAAAAAGTTAGAAACATTCCCGCCGGGTATCGATAACTTCATCGGGTGCGACCTAAAGCCCCGTTTAATGCCGGTATCGGGTAGAATTCCACCGCGTCCAAGTTTTGGGAACTATATAAACGTGTTAAACCTTTCATTTGAAGCTTTTTCCTTCTCTCTCTACTCTCTCTCTAACCTCTCTCCTAAAATCCAAGTTTAAGGGTCCAAAACTCAATTTTAAGGCTTCAAATCCCTAAGGTACCTCCCTAACCTTAATCTAAAGCATGTTTGGCTTCCAAATTCGAGATTTAAACATGAAATGGGACACAATGTATGAGTTTACAGCCCAGGAAGGTGCCTAGGCTGTAAACACCAAAAATGATGGGTTTTGAGCCCTTAAACCCCTCCTTGACAAGTTTGGACTTTAGATATGGCTAAGGGACTTCAAGATATGGGCTTAGAACAATTAAAACATAAACTTTGTAAAGTTTGAAGGAGTTTACGGCCAAGGATCATTCTTGAGCCGTAAACTCATTTAAACTAGGGTTTTCATGCCCTTAAACCCTTCCAAATCACTCATATGTCTTAGTTATGAATGATAGAACATAGATCTTTGCATTTGGACACTTGAAACACAATTTTTGGGGGACTAACATGAGTTTATGGCCAAGGCTTGTGCTTGGGCCGTAAACTCCATGAAACATGGTACAAATCCAATTCTAGGGTGTTTGAAAGCCATCCAACACCACCAAAAGCCTTGGAATAAATCAAAGGACCAACCAAAAATAGTTTTAAGGCTTTACAAACATCAAAACCCCACATTTGAGAGTTTATGGCCATAGAACATGTCTCATGGCCGTAAACTCATAAAAAGGTGTCAAATGGTGCCTTAAACTCATTTCTAGACTTGTGGAAATTTTTAGAATCACATGTGATTGATTTTAACACCTTAAACACACTAAATCTTGGAGATTTGAGAGTTTACGGCCAAAGACCCCATGCCTAGGCTGTAAACTCCCTTATGTAGTGTAAATGATGTTTTTAATTCAATCCAAGCCTTAAGAAAAATTAATCCAAGCATTTCCATGTGTCGATGTCCATTTATGATTCAATTTTGCACCATAAACCACCCTACCATGAGTTTACGGCCGTAAACTCATGGGGAATGGGTGTTTTGGACCAAAAACTCTTGTATAAGTTTATTCATGGGGAGTAAACTCAAGTCCCAAGTCCCTCGCTTCAATTCCCGTCCTTAAACGCCACCCGGGTCCCTCCAAACACTCGTAAAGGAGTGTTTCCGCGATTACAAGTAATGGTCCTTATCAAATAATCAATCTAGGTGCTAATTAGATACAAATGTGTATCTTTACATTATACTTAGGAACCTCGCATGTTTACAAGTCCCGGACCAACACTTAGCATCCGAATTCGCCACTTTTCTCTTCCGGTGAGTTCATACCCCTACCCTTTTTCAACTATTTTCACTGTTTTCAGGGGGGAATACAAGCAAAAGTATAAGGAAAACTTGTACTCAAACTTATTGTTTTCAGTTTAATCGTTTTCATTCTGTATGTTCTAATATCAATAACTGTGTGTATCAAATATTTCGAATTACGAATTTAGCTTTCAAATGAATCATAGATTTCTCGATAAAATGTTCTAATCTAAACTATGTTTCATAATCTACGAATAATTTCTACTAATTTCCAATTATAACTAATTATGAATACGAAAACGAATACGAAGCTACATCTAGGAACAGAACGAATACGAAAACGAATACGAAGCTATAACTAGAAACAGAACGAATAATACATCTACAACTAGAAACAGAACAAATAACACATCTATAACTAGGAACATAATGGATAACGAAACTATAATTAGGAACATAACGAATACGAATACGAATACGACTGCGAATACGAATACGAATACGAATACGGCTGCAAATAGTATTAGGAGTAGGATTAGGGATAGGAATGCGACTACGAATACGAATACGAATACGACTACGAATACGAATACGAATACGAATACGAATACGACTGCGAATACGAATACGAATACGAATAGTAATAGGAGTAGGAATAAGGAAACAAATATAGTAACGAATACGAATACGAACATGAATAAGTACAATCATAACTAATTAAGAATAAGAACACGAATATGAAGATGTGAATCTAAGTACATTCCGAAATATTACCATTAGGATATCAGCATAACTAGATAATACAATAGGTACGAATGGAAATAAATCAGTATATCGAAGTTCAATAAATAACAACTATTTTTAGGAAGGTACGGGACTTTCCTGGGGAAAACAAAACATTACCTAATCACGTGTATATCTTTTACATCTTTAACATCATTCACATTAGAAACCAACATGCAAGAAAGCATGGGGCTTTCCTGGGTAACACTTATATAACTAGAAAGAGTAGCAAACTGAATAACATTACATATTTCACAATTAGTAATGTACAATTAGGAAAGTATGGGACTTTCCTGGGTTCATAGTTAAACATCACAAGAACCGGGTAGCCTAGCAATCAACCAACCTTCTCTTTTAAGAAAATATGGGATTTTCTTGGATAACAACTTTTCGGTAAACTAAAGGAAACTCGTACATTTTCACAAAGCAAACATC